CCCTGTTTTGAGGCGGTTTGGGGGGTTTTGGGGTTGTTTTGAGGTGGTTTGGGGTGGGTTTGGGGGAATTTTGGGGAAGTTTGAGGGGAGGTTTGGGGAGGTTTGAGGGTAGTTTGGGGGTGGTTTGAGGGAAGTTTTGGGGCAGTTTGGGGGAGGTTTTGGGGATGTTTGAGGGTAGTTCGGGTGTTGTTTGGGGTGGTTTGGTTTGGGAGTGGTTTGGGGAGGTTGAGGGTACTTTGGGGGCAGTTTGGGGTGTTTTGGGGAGGTCTGAGGGTAGTTTTGGGGTGATTTGGGGTGTTTTGGGTGATTTGGGGGAGCTTTGGGGAGGTTTGAGGGTAGTTTTGGGGTGATTTGCTGCGTTTTGGGGAGGTTTGAGGGTAGTTTGGGTTGGTTTGGGGGTGGTTTGGGGTGGTTTGGTTTGGGGACAGTTTGGGGAGGTTTGGGGCAGTTGGGGGAGTTTTGGGGAGGTTTGAGGGTCCTTAGGGTGTGTTTTGGGTTGGTTTGGGGTGTTTAGGGTTGGTTTGGGGTGTTTTGGGTTGGTTTGGGGTGTTTTGGTGACAGGCTGTCCCCCAGCGCTGTGCTGTCGGGGTGTTTTGGGTTGATTTTGGGTTGATTTTGGTGTGTTTTGTGTTGTTTTGGTGTGTTCTGGTGACGGACCATCCCCCAGCTCTGTGCTGTCGGCTGGAGGAGCTCGGCGAGGCCCTGAGGCAGCAGCACGGCCTGGAGGGGTTCAGCTCGGCCCTGCTGCCCGCACAGGTGACCCCAAACACACCCTTGGGGGCAAAACCCCTGGGGTTGGGGGGGAAAAACACTGGGTTGGGATTAAACCCCCCATTTGGGGCAAAACCCCCTTGTTTGGGGGGAAAAACCCCTTGTTTGGGGGGCAAACACCCCTGGTTTGTCCCTGTTGTGGAGAGAAAAAAAGCCCCATTGTGGGGGAAAACCCCTGTTTTGGGATTAACCCCCTGTTTTGGGGTGAACCCCCTTGTTGTGAGGGAACCCCCCCTCATTTTGAGAGAAAACCTCTTGTTATGAGGAAAACCCCATCCCGTTTGGGGGGAAAACCCCATCTTTTGGGGTAAAACCCTCTGTTTTGGGGTCAAATCCCTCTTTTTGGTGGAAAACTCCCTATTATGAGTGAAAACTCCCTGTTTTGGGGGAAAACTCCCTTATTATGGTGGAAAACTCCCCTATTTTGGGGGAAAACTCCCTGTTTTGGGGGAAAACTCCCTGTTTTGAGGTCAAACCCCTTGTTATGGGGGAAACCACCCCCGTTTTTGGTGAAAACCCCTGTTTTGAGTTAAACCCCCCCCATTTTGAGTTAAAACCTCCCTGTTTTTGGTGAATCCCCCCCATTTTGAGTTAAACCCCCTGTTTTGAGTTAACCCCCCCCCGTTTTTGGTGAAACCCCCCCGTTTTGAGTTAAACCCCGTTTTGAGTTCAAACCCCCCGTTTTGAGTTAAAACCTCCTGTTTTGAGTTAACCCCCCCCATTTTGAGTTAAAACCTGTTTTGAGCTAAAACCTCCTGTTTTGAGTTCAAACCCCCCCTTTTGAGTTAAAACCTCCTGTTTTGAGTTCAAACCTCCGGTTTTGAGTTCAAACTCCCCGTTTTGAGTTAAAACCCCCTGTTTTGAATTAAACCCCCCTCATTTTGAGTTAAACTCCCCCATTTTGAGTTAAACCCCCCCATTTTTGGGTGTTTCCCCCTCCCCAGGAGCCGGTGGTGGTGCTGGGGCAGATCTGCTGCGATGGGAACGGGAAGCTCAATCCCAAATCCGTGCTGCTGGGGGGGGACCGGGAGCACTCGGGGGGGGCTCAGGTGCCCCTCGACCTCTCGGAGCTCCGGGAATATTCCCTCTTCCCTGGCCAGGTGAGGATTGGGGGGGCTGCACCTTCCTGCCCCTTTTCCCCCCAGTTTCAGCCCTGAGCCTCTGTTTTCCTGGCCCTGATCCCATTTTTCCCCTTTTCCCTTATCCCATTTTTCCTCTTATCCTTGATCCCATTTTTCCTCTTGTATCTGATCCCATTTTCCCCCCTTGTCCCTGACCACATTTTTCCCCCTTTTCCCTTATCCCATTTTTCCCCTTGTCCCTG